GATGTACTGATATGTCAACTTTCTCAAAATCGACATTGGAAATTAATATAATATGCCCATTGATTTAGCATTAGTTCATTTTTTTACTCTTTAAGGCATACTATCAGAGCAAAAGAAAAGAAAGGGTGACCGAGGAACTAGGTTTCTTAATTCTAGAAGTGGTGGTACCCACTCCATCTAAAAATATAAAGACGGTTTGATTTGGTGGGGTATTCAATATCACACTTTGACTGCTTATGTCTCTTATAATATATCATTCATGGCAACAAAAGTTTGATTATTAGAAAGTATCTGTAAGTACAAATCCAAAGTTTCATATTGTTAGACTAATTGTTGCTTGTTGGTGAAAGATTACGGAGTTTGAATTTTTAAATGTGTACCCACCTTATATTTGGGACAGAAGGAACATGATTTTTCACCTAGCAAGATTAATAGTGAAAAAGTCCATTCGCCTTACTTTTCCTTGTCTTAACTTTCTGAGGCAAGTTCTGAATTGATACTGGTGTTGCAGAAAGAATTGCAGTACCATCAATCTATAACCATGCAAATAATGGCACATTCGAAAATGTATATAATATATTAATATGCCATTATATCCAATGTTCAACAAGGTGAGATTCCGCGGTCGCCTAGGCGCGACTAGGCGCTGGGTGGAGGGGTACCGTCTCGCCTAGGGGTGTAGGCGGACGTTGGGCGGAGGAGGAGGAAGGGAGCGGCGAGCGGAGGTCACCGGTGGGGGAGAAGGAGCGGCACGCGGCGGGCGGAGGTCGCTGGTGGGGGAGGAGGGGCGGGCGGCGGGAGCGTGCGTGTGCGGGCGGCGCGTGGACCAGAGAAAGGCTGAGAGAGAGAGAGGTGCGGGAGAGGATCCAGTGGCGGCAGCAGCTGTGCGGCATTGGGACTGCGGGAGAGACCGAGCAGAGGAGAAAGAAGGTTGGAAACTTTGGGCTTTGGGCCATTTTCAGAGGAGAAAGAAGGGATAAGGTGTTAGGGGACTTGGACTTTGGGCCGTTTTCTGTTGTAAGGGCCTTTCTCTTTAGTGAAGTCCACTTATCTCCTGTTTTCTTTTTCTTTTTTTCAACATATATGTGTGTATTAGCCACCGCCTAGAAAACGCCTAGGCACGCCTAGGCGCTAGGCGACGGGTCTCCGCCTAGAAACCGCCTAGCGCCTAGAAAAACATAGATTATATCCCATATATTGCTAGAGTAAAGCTGTTTAGTTTGCACTACAATTTTTACTTTGTTTTTCTCTGAACACATTGCCATTGCAAAACATATTCAATACAATGTGATTGCATATGTACACGTATATTTGCTGCAACACTGTATCTCAAGATCTCAATCATTTCCTGCTTGCCTGTATCCAGATACCAAAAAACAAATTGTCTTGGATGGCCCACGGAGTTGTGGTAAAAGCATTGCACTTGCGATGCTTGTCCATTGGGCACGTACTGAAGGATGGCTGGTATTTTATGTTCCACAAGGGAAGGATTGGACTCATGGAGGATTCTTCTATAGAAACACATATAGTGATTTTTTCGATACACCGTTACAGGCTGCGAAGATCTTGCAGGTGCTAACCTCTGTAATTTTGTATGTTCCAGTTGCTTCAAATAGACTATCTTTCATATTCCTCTTTTCTTTTCTCAGTATATATGGATGCAGATAGAATGCATTATCATCTGTTTTCCTTGTTTTATTTGTTTGTACTCTGCCTACACGCTCCAAATAATGCTAGTTTGATGTATGTGATGATATAGTAACCATCAAGTGGGCAAGTGGCAACGATTGTAAGAATATGATGTGTTGATAGGTGGACGATGGCCATGCATATATTGATTAACATTCAATCATATTTGGTACCGGTGGAGCCTCTTCTGTTTTTAAATTGTCACTGTGAAATATACGTATCTGATATGGTTACATATTTGCCTAAAGATTGATATTATTTTTAAACACATCTCACCTGTGCTATTTTACATCATCAGTTCATACTCCATACTGTATGCAAACTGGGTTTCTCTAATCTCAGTTGTATATTGATAATAAGTTAGTAGGAATGTAAACTTATGCAGTTATGCTTGTTTATTTGTATATATTTCCTTTTGTTACACTTGGTTCCATGGATACTTTATTAAGCATACACATTCATTGCTAGAAAGCAGATAATCTGTGACATTTTTCAAAATACAAATCTCACCACTAATTTGTACTGTAACATATTTATAGAACCTATTAAAAGTCATGAAAGTAATTTTAGGACAATTATGCACTTATCTAGATATTTTAAAAGATATTGTGCCAAAATGTAAAATGCTGCATGCTCTCCGCTTGCACTACATCACTTTTAGTTGGAGGTAGTACATCTTAAACCTATGATTTATGGCAACATATATATTTGGTTTGATACTACAGTGTGCTGGATGGAACATCATTTCCTCTAAATCTGTTTCTATTGCTGCTTCAGGATTTTTTGAAGTACAACGAAACACGCTTACAACAATTACCATGTCAAAATTTTGAGCCTATTCCCCTAGGAGAAGGTGCTGGTGTTGGGATGATGAAAGGGGCTGACACAATGGAAATGCCTGAAGGGTCCACATTATATGATCTCATTCAAACTGGGATAACTCACACGCATGCTTCAGTTGGTGTTGTAGTTCGCTTAAGGAAGGAGCTGTCCCTTGTTAAAGACGTGCTTGTACTGTTTGCCATTGATCAGGTATGTCGGAGCATTGACACCATAGCTGAATTGGCTGCTGCCACTTCAATGTTTGATATGTTGTATGTGTAAAAATTCCCACTAATGTGAAACACATTAAAAGATTCTTTTTTTTTCTTTTGCAGTACAATAGTTGGTTTACATTCAGTGACTTCCAGGAACCTGTAACTGTCCGGTCCTGTCGATCGATCCATGCAAAAGAGCTTACAATGGTTCGTTGCACTGAGATACCTCACCATGTTCAATCATCACATTCTTTTATGTCCTACAGTATCCTCCTTTGAAAGTAGCAAATATTTGCATATCCTTTGTGCTTATTTGCATGTATTTTTTGGTTGTGATGTAGTAAAAATTGTTAAGTTCCTTACACTTTTCTATGTGTTCATTCTCTTTTCTTTTGTAACGTTTCATGTACTCTGTTCTGTTGCCTAATAAGTAAATATACAGTTTCTGAGTGACTTATTTTTGTAAAGATAAACATATGAGTCTGTATTAGCTTTTTTTTACTGCTCAGTGGAGATCTGGTATACATGTGGCAAGTGTACAATGTGTAGCATCATAGCACTTTTTTTAACACTAGTAATCAGTTCCCTGGACATACACACTTAATGTTTCACTTGTACTATAAACAGGTCAATGCTTATAGATCAATGTTGCACAATGATATGATGGTGGGGGCCTTTTCACACTCAACAGCAGTCGGCAAACTACGGCAGGAGCTGCCAGATGTTCCTTCTGGTGCTCGTTTGATGTTTCCACGTTACACCTTAGATGAAGCTGAGACTGTGTGTCACTATTACATGAGGTATTTTTTTTTTATAGAAATTTGGCATATTTCTATCAGTTGATAGTGTTTGATAATCTGCAATGGCTGACTCTGGCATATTACTTGTTAACTCAATAACTGAAAGTTGGCAATGCACTTGACCAGGCAAAAGATCATTCGGCGCGAGAATTTTTCAGAAGAGAAATGGAAAAAGATATATTACTTATCAAATGGAAATGGTGCAGAGATGAGATGGCTTGCTGCCTTTGTTTGAGGTAGTATACCATCCCTGAAGGCAAAAATGCATTTTGCTCCCCCAAATTTATTCTTAATATTGTTCTGTAATATATATTTTTTTAATGACAAGTCTCCTCTCATTGCATAGGCGGGGGTAAGGCTTGCCACTGACACCCTTCCCCAGACCCCGCACAGAGCGGGAGCTCTCTGCACTGGGTACGCCCTTTTTATGTTCTTCCTTTATCATGCAGTTTCTGATACCTGGATTATACTCAGTTTTGATGGTGGTCTAGAAAGGTTGCCACTTCTGTTTCAGCATGCCATTCGACACCACAGTTCATTGTTGTATACTTGTAGTCTGTCTCACGACATTCCTAGCAGAAAATTTGGCTTCAACATCATTTTTGCTGAGTAGGAGATAAAACGTAAGTTTGTGGCTCAGTTACATGATTATATCATTGGGCCCTTTGAGTTCTGCTCAGATATGCTAGATACAAATAATAACCAACTGATGTGTAACATTGTTCTTGGAGAAGTTTTCACATGTTTTGGCTTCTGTATTTTTCATGTAGTTGACTGCGACTGCGAGCTCACTGTGCTGATGAGTATGATTATGAGTTGACGCCAATCTACTCAGCTTGCTATATTGTTGCTGAATTGAGCCCATTGAATAGTTGTTGTTTTTTATATTTTTTGTGGTACGAATCGAACAATTATTTGAGTTGGGAACAATGTTCTTCTTTGCGGAACTCAAAGGTTACTTGTATGAGCCATATCCCCTTCACTCCCTTGTTTCTTGGAGAGATACAGCTTGTTGATTTTACCACATTGTCGATTCCATTGTACTTTTGATCGTGCCTTTCCGTATATCGTCACATATTTTTTGTCCCATGCCGTTCATAGATTTTCCTTCTGAAATAATTCTTTTTGCAAATGCATAACTCTGTTTTTGGTCCCTCGACTTCTTCTTTTGTCTAAAAGACCCCAGATTCAAAGCTGTCTATGCTACATTATCAAATATATATGGTTCAGTTTACGCCCCAAAGCCTATCTTGAGAAATTTCTGGTCTTTAATATTAGAACACACACACACACTCGACAGTTGATTGAAGTGGACGCAAGTACTATTGGTCATCTCAACAAGATCTTTCATTTACACTGGTTAATTAATCTTTTTTGTCACTTGTGCAAGTACAATGTTAGTATACAACAATGGACGCATTAACGGAACAGAGTTAGCACTCTGTTTTCGGATGATCACTGAGCAGCTTAACAATTAGTAGGTGTGCCGAAGCTGGAGTGGATTTCTTCTTCCCGTGAGCTCATCAGCCATCTCTTCGTCCATGATGACGGCGCCTCCGTGCATCCACCTGACCTGACGTGGGAACGCCAGCGGGGGTTCTTGCCGCACCGCCCCCGCCGCGCGTGCCCTGAACGCCGGGAGGTCCAGGATGTGCGGCAGCAGCAGTTCGAGCACCGGGTCGGCCGCCTGGTCGTCGTCTTTCTCCATGCCCATGATGAAAACGCCGCCTCCGTCTTTGCTCCCGATCTCCATCGCGCTAGCATCGTCATCCCCGTCGCCGCCATCGTCGTCCACGAAGCCACCCTCCTCCTCGTCGCCCATGACGATGATGGCGCGGCCTCCTCCACGAACCGAAGGTACTCTGCGAGAACGTCGCCTTGAAGCCACGCCACGGGTAGGAGGAGGAGCAGTGGCGAGGAGAGGTTAACTATAGCTGTATAGACACCGATCATCATGCCGACGCCTGATGGAGGTGGAGCCATGGAGCCGTAGAGGTGCTGTAGCCTGCTGTCTCCGTCTGCTAGTGTTGGATCAAAGGGCAGCTTTGTCTTTGGCTGCTTAATTGAAAGAAAATGCAATGGTTTGTCCCGATACAAGGGTGTTCCCCTGTGTTTTATGGGCAGAGGGCAACATCTACTTTCTACTTGCTCCAGCATATTTTCTAATCACTAAAGTGGATGCTGAGCATATTTCTATTACAAAGGTTTGGAAGCCAAGAAAAATAAATACAGAAAAGTAAGATACAAGTGCTGCCGAGCACTAGGCTTATCTGTCATTCTTCCCCTAAGCCTTGTGCCGAACACTGGAAGCGATCTGTTGTAGCCCAATCTTCTCCCTCATCTCTTGGAACTTAGACTTCCCCAACGATTTGGTGAGAATATCGGCCAGCTGATCAGTAGAGACATAAGTACCATTAGATTAATTATTAGTTATATAATATATTTTTATAATAAATTTATTTAGAGACATAAGTGTTAATACTATTCACTATAAATTTAGTTAAACTTAAGTTAGTTTGACCTGCACGGATCTTAATTGCATTCTTTTATGGATTGATGAAGCACGTGATATAAGACATTGTGTGCAGTATGGTTGTTGTCGGCCGACCCCCTCACTTCCATGTGGGGCCTCCCCCTTCATTGTGGGTCCTCTTGGCATGATGTAATTATGTCGGTTTGTAGAGATGTGGGTCCATCAATCCATGGGTTTGCATCTCCCACCATTGAGAAGAAGCATAAGCTTGATCCAAGGGTGGAGATTGATTTGAGAGTGCTTGACAAGGATTGTGGTAGCTTGGGATGGCTGGTGGGCCCATAGGGAGGGTCAACCGACCCCCCCCCCTCTATGTGGGTCCCACCAGCTCATCTTGCTCCATATAGCTTGAATCAGCATCAAATACTCATGGTACATGTGGAACCGGTTATTTGATAAAATATATTCATGGTATGCTCATGATCTTACTTTGATCTAAGGCTGTTGACGCTGATTTTGAGTATATAAAATTATGACATTTTCACCATCAACAATGGGCCAATTCTCCCCCTAGAAGAGACCCAACTATCAACTAGCATAGTGTCATGTAAAATCTAACCCCACCAAGGGAGCACTTGTAAGCAGCCATTGCCTATATAAGTGACGAAGGACATGAGGGCAAGGTACCTCACCTCCCACTCATTTTCACTTGTTCAAAACCCTAGTGCGTCCCTGTACACTATCGAGCTCTCTCTCCTCCCTCTACCTCTCTCTCTTTCATGTTCAGAACCGTTATTTCCAACATATTATTTAACATCTATCATATCAATCAACATATTGTTGTGATCAACACTCAATAATCAACTGTTCAATAATTATTTAATGGTTTATTACATTATTTATATTAAATAAAGAACCTAAAGGGAGAGATGACTAAAGAATAAGTATCTACCTCGATCAAGATTAGGGTGCTAAAAATATATCATGATTAAACTAAATAGCAATATTTAGCGGAGTTAAAATATCATTAGCGGCAACAGTGGAACAATTGAAAATAGTGTAGCGGTGGACCCTCACTGCACTTGTAGGAAGTCATGTGCACAAGTTTCTTCCCCACTTTCTTCTGATGGCACGAGGACGACTGCATGTCCGAGCCCGTGCTCACTGGGCAGAGGTTAGACCTCTTCCCCCTAACCCGTAGCACGCACATGGGTGACCAGCCCCTGGTCTTCGTCTTTGGTGTCCTGGCGAGGCGGATCCCCTGCTGGCCGGCCGGCGTCCTGGGCGAGGTGGCGGTGCCACGGCTCGTTGGGGGTCCTCGGCGAGGCCCCGACGTAGGCCTCCACCGCTAGTCCGCCTTCTTCGGGGTGCACACGCCGCCGGCGACCACCATCGAGCCCCTGGTCGCGCGCACGGCTAGGGTTAGCAAAGGGGCGGCGTGAAGATTGACGAGTCGTGGAGAGAGAGTGCGCTTACCTGAGTCAACTCCAAGGAAAGAAGCGGCGATGTGTGATGATGAATGGGAGGGAAAGTGTAGAGTCCCGGGACGGGTGTTTATAGGTGAGCCGGCTGGGGCGGGATGCGGTCGGTCCACACACTCCGTGTGTTTCACAAATATTACTACAACTTGTTTGTCTAAATAATGCTAACATGTTCGGCTTTTAATGGAACTAGTTTTCCTCGTTAACGATAATGTACACTTTCTGTCCGAAAATTTAAAATTTTGTCACGAATATAATTAATGCACAGTATATTGATTACTTAGCTTCATCCATACCTTTTAAACACCATCTTACCCCAAAATAACTCATGTAATTGGTAGTCGAATCAGCAAAATCCATGTTTGTTTTTTTAAAACTATGCCTTACCAAAAAATTAATATAAATAAACAAGTTAACAGCCGAACTAACTAATTAGTGAAGGCAAGTTATAGTCTTTTGCTAGACTCCTTATTTGATCCTAGAATTTTTTTATACCTATTTCAGCACGGCTCCCTCTATCCTAAATTAAATGAACTTCTTTTTTAGATTAAAAATTAAATGATCTTCTAGAGTTGTCTTAAGTCAAACTATTTTAAATTTAACTAAGCTTATAGAAAAGTGCACCTATATTTATGACACCAAATTAGTAGCAGTAGTTATATTATGAAATATATTAATATACTTATCTAGTGTCATAGATGTTGTTATCTTTTCCTATAACATTGGTCAAACTTAGGATAATTTGATTTAGAGTGATGGTAGGAATTGATTATTTATTCTACTACCGAGGTAGTATTTCATAACTCGTCATATATATTTTTTATAATCTCACTAGTACTACAAGATAAAGCGGATACTACCCCTAAATTTCAAATACTTGTTCGCTTTGATTTGTCCTAAATCAAACTTTAACCAAGTTTTTTTTAAAAAAAATATCAACATCTACAAGTTCAAATAAATGCACTTTCAAAACACACTTCACAGAGACTTAGTAAAACTAATTTGATGTTGCGGATATACTAGTGCATTTTTCTGTAAATTTGATTAGAGCGAGATAACTGACTTATGAGACCTAAACTGGACTAGAATGTAGGGAGTAACATTCAAAAATTGCCAAAAAAAAAAGATTACCAGAATATTAGGAAACCACATCTTAACTCAAAGGGATGGGTTATATACCCTTACTTCTGCTCAGTTCCTTTAGACCAGATTACGAGCTGCACATGAGTCTTCCCTATCCGTGTCTAACTAGGATCCCTTGCATTCTTCTTCGGGACGGAGGGAGCTAGTACAGTATACCTCTGTACGTCCCTTCTTCTGCATGGTACCAATATTGTAGTTTCAAAATATAATAACAATATAAATAATAACAAGATTGTTGCTACCATCAAAATGATGATCTCTAGATATAACAACTCTAATGTCTGGAGATAACAACTCTAATGGCAAACTGATCATAGATTAGTTGGTTGGGTTCCTTGTGATGGAACCTGTCCACCCAGGTTTAAGTTCTCGACTTGGCACGGGTGCTCGCGTTTTTTCTCGATTTATTCCAGGATTTAACGGCGCTATGCTTTCAGTGGTAGACGACGTCCCCGTCGACTGAGGGGTAGGGCTTCCGTACATATATTCATAGGGGTGAATATACGTGCATGTTGCGTCTACTGTACGTTGGAAACTGAAGTTTCTAAAAACCGAAACTAGACCGAAGTACACCAAATGCCTCAGTCCTGGAATTAGGTCTAAGCTATGTCTAATTGTTTATTCCTTGCCAAAAAAAATTTGATTGTTTATTGGATTTGGCCATGCTAGTAGTTTTTTTCTCTAATTGCAACGTGCAGACATATTCGCTAGTTACCTATTAAAGACCAGCGAGCGGGTGTGGACTCAATTATTTGTCGTGCCACGCAGCGGCGCCTGGTTCTGGTTCAGTGCACTGCAGATAGCCAGCCTTGAAGCTTGTGACCCAGATGGCAGATGGTGTAGTGCTCCGAGCACATGAATACTACTTGGTACTAAAAGAAGAAGAGTATGTAATTCTCATTTTTGAATTTTGACTGAATTTATATAAAAATATACTAACATTTATGATACAAGATAAGTACCATTAGATTAGTTATATAATATATTTTTATAATAAATTTATTTAGAGACATAAATGTTAATACTATTTACTATAAACTTACTTAAATTTAAGTTAGTTTGACCGGCACGGATCTCTTAAGACATTGTGTGCAGTATGGTTGTTGGCGCTGTGCATCATTGACATTTACTCTCGCTCCTCACTAGCCGTCGTAAAAATTCTCTTATTTATAATATAATCATGAATTCGTGGTCTTGGCCCCAACCAAGCCACCATCGACGACGACGGCGACGGCGACGACCTTGACGTTGAGGCATGTGCCGATGTGCATGCAGCATGTGGCCATGGCCCATGACTCCATGAGTGCTCTACATGGCGGTGAATAGAAGAGCGACGGTGAACAGCAAGCAGTCACCCATGACGACTCCATGAGTGCTCAGACAAGTGAAAAGTGAAATACAAAGAACCCTGATTTCCCTCTCTACATCTCCGTTATTGTTCTTGTGCGTGCAAACAAAGAACTTGATTCGTCTACATAAAACGTTTTTTCTTCGCGAACCTGACACACGCAAAATAGTGCGAGTTTTCCAGCGATTTGTCAAAGTAACAAAAAGAAAAACGTTGAAATTTTCAACAACAGTGATATAAATAAAGGGTGAAAATTCACAAATGAAATGACTTGGTATCGTGCGATCCGTACATAGTGGATGTTCTACCCCCGTCCGCCTCGCCCCCGCCTCGCACGCGCACCCTGCCCCACCGATGCGCCCCGATCCTTCCCCCTAGCCCCCTCCTCTCTCTCCTTGTGGGCAAGATCCGGGAGCCGGCCTCCAGCTCGTTGTGCCCCATCCGCTGGCCCCTAGCTCGCCGTGCCCAATCCCCCGGCGTCCAGGTCGTGCGTCCATCACTCACCATGCTCCCATGAAACACTTGCAACATGAAACACTTGGATGCAACATGTGTCTGACACATACGAAATATTTGAAACATAATGTTGCAACATACGTGTGAAACAGATGCAACATTCAGATAAAACACTTGCAACATGTGTGTTAAATATATCCAATATTCGGATAAAAACACTTGCAACATGTGTGTGAAATATATGCAACATCCAGATAAAAACACTTGCTGCAAAATACATCTGAAAACAGATAAAACATTTTCAACAAACGCTTATAACATACCTCTGAAAACACTTGCAAAATATGTAACATGTGCAACATCACAATCTACTTTTGCAACAGTCATATATAACAATTGCAACGTACCTCTGAAACACTTGAAACATACATTTGTAACATAGGAGAGGAGAAGGCAGGGGCCGGTCGATTCCGATTGTCGGTGTGGGATGTTCGGATGTGGCGGCGCGTGAGCACCACCACCAACAGCACCGGCCTTGGCTTGGCCGGGGCGGGCGGCGCGTGCTATGGGAGGGGGTTGGTGGCGCGCGCTATGCGCGCTACCTAGAATACATGATATTTATCATAAATTTTGTATTCACATACGTTGATGGACTTTGGCATTCCATTTTGGAATGCCATCACACTCATCTCCAAGGTTTCCAAAATCCACTCTCAATTTGATTTTTGTTTGCAATATTGAAAAAACCGCTCTCCAACAACTCCTTATCTCGACTCCAATCTTTCTGCAATAGGTAAAATCCATCGAGTAGAATGCGCGCCGAAATATAAGTGCGCCTATCCGTGGGGCAATCCGGAGGTGTAAGGACATGAGAAAGAATAAGAGTAAGAACAGAGTTCCCATTGCAAATGTATATGTGAGAAAGAAATTATAAAAAATGGTTAGAATGATTTGGAAACAGTTTGGAATCTCTGATGCAAAATTATCTCCTATCTTTTAGAAGTGAGATTTTAAAAGTGGTTGGAGGACCCAACAAATATGCTCCTAACTTTTTTAGCCACTTGAAAACTCATTGGTTTACCAATTGTTTTTTGAACTATCAGAGATGATAAGGCCCATAGCGAAAGTGCAATTAAGCCCTAATTATAGATTTTGGTGATAATGACCACACAATTAGAGAACTAATGAGATTTATCGAGATGACAAGCAGGGAATTTATATTCGAGGATTCTACATGAAACAGAGAAGCCCCCAATTACAAATGTTGATGGTTTCAAACTCAAAGAAGGTTTAAATTCTTTTATATTTTGAATTTGAGTATAGAAAAAGCCGTACTATAAACGAGGACATAATGCTTAAGCTAACATGTGCTACCAAGTGCTCAAACATACACATACATCTTCAGATTCACAGCCAAGACAAACCTAAACTTCACTCTTACCCTTGCTGTCTTGACTGGTGCGGCACTATCACACTTGAAGAGTGGCACTGCCGTAGTGCGGCAGTGTCGCACCGTTGGGGAAGAGGGGTTATTTATACACATCCTCTTCCTCCCCAATGACTATCTTCTTCCTTCTGCTCATTCCAGCTCGTCTAAAACAGAAAAAAGAGCTTTCTCTCTCCCTCCATTAGTGACCTTGAGTCCTCAAGCAAATTTATTGATTTCTCCATCAATCCTTGAGAGAAAAAGGGTCCAAAACTCAAGTAAAGAGCAGCTCCATTAATTGCTCAACTCAAAAGAGCACTTGGTTCCCGTTTTGACCGGCGGTTGTGTTTGTTTCTCTTGGAGCTTGGCTTCTAGTCAGCTAGAGCGTCGTCCGTAGAGCTTGCCAATTTGTGTGGCAGCCCTGAAAGATTTATAATAATCTCTTGAAGCTAGTAAACTCACCCATCATCTCAAAAGTTAAGTCTCTTAACTTGAGAACGAGGAAGGGTTGGAAAGCACTAAACCTTAGTGTCTAAACTCAACAACGTGGACGTAATCAAGTCTTGGTGGCGAGCCAAACCACGGGATAAATCATTGTGTCTCTTGTGGTTGATTTACATTACTTGTAGGTCCTATTGTTGTTGAGGTGATTTCTATGGTTCCTAGTCGATCTACTTGTGTGTGATGTTCCTACTACTTATAGCTATCGATATGTGACTATCATACCTGCAGGAAGCTGAGAAATTTCTCCGATCTAAGTTTCCGTTCACTGATTTTGAACTGTGACTCGAAGTTGTCTGCAGGTGCGGCAGTGCCGCTGTTCTGGCCCGGCAGTACCGCAGTCCGGTAGTGCCGCCCGTCAGAGCGGTAGTGCCGCAGGGTGAAATTGATAAAAATTTAAGTATTTATTTTGACAGGCCTATTCACCCCCTTTAGACCGACCAGAGATCCTACACATAGTACACATAGTGACATTTTACATGCTTGTAGCAGTATTGAAATGACTAACATACTTCATTGATGCTTCCCACGGTTACGTTCGTGTTGTGTGCATCAAACCTATATGATATAAAATTTAAATGACATAAAAAAACCTATATGATTAAAAAAACCAATAATAACCAATAAAAAACCCTATAGATATAAAATCTAACTTTGTTTAATGTTTAGTTCAATAAAAACCAATAATAACTCAAACATCCCAACATGTTGGAGTTATGTTCCTAAGATCAGTCTCAATAAAAGTTTTATGAGAATTTCATGGGTATTAAATAAGCTGTCGTGACCTAGTATAAATGAATAAAGAGATGATAAAAATTTCATAGGATGAAATGAGTTTTATGGGAATTGAACTTGTTTATTCTGTTTTAAACACATGAGAGTCTTGAAAATATAACCATAAAACTTTAACTAGACTGGTACAGTAAAAAACGGGACCGAATACACACAACGCGCGCGAGAACGAAACGGCCCCCGGTGGACGCGCCCGCCCGCCCGCCTGTGGAGACATGCACATCCGTCCGTGTTAATCTTGAGCACGAATCCTAACAAGCATCTGGACCATACAAAAGTGAAAGAAAACAGATATTTAGAAATCCCGAGAAAAAAAAATAGAGCTTCGGCTATTTGGACCAACGCAACTTGGGCCGGCCTTACGAGAGGCAACAAATGGCCTAAACACCGAGCCCACAGATTTTCAAAACCCTAGCCCAGCCCATGACTTTTATTAAAACCCTAACCCCCAAGAAGGAACAACGAGCGGAGGCAGCGGCCTCATTCATCATCACCTGCACGGCGGCGACTCCGCTCTGAGTTGCTGACGGCGAGCGGCGCGGACGACGCGAAGGCAGCCCGCGGCGTGTCACGGGAGTGCTAGGCGAGGCTGTTAGGGCATATAGCCGCAGCGGACCAGCGTGGCAGCGACGCGCGATCGAGGAGGTTAGAGCGCTCGCCGCTATGGCGCCGCCGCGCAACGACAGGAAGAAGGGGAAGGGCGCCGGCGGCAAGACCGACCTGCGCCCCGACCGGAAGCAGTTTAAAAGGCACCGCAAGGAGGATGCGGCCGGTGAGCAGGGGGATGGCGACCGAAAGTTGCAGCAGTCGGCAGCGCCGGGTTCCGCTGCGCTCCTCGCCGCAGCTTCTGACGAAGCTGATTTCCCGAGAGGTAAGCGTCGAGCTGCGCAGTCCCGCAACACCCCCCTCCCTCCTCCCTATCAATTTTTCTTTGCACTGATGTGTTGTTGTGCATTTGGGGTGGTGCGCAGGGGGACGCAGCCTCCTGAGCAAGGATGAGATGGCGGAGGCTCGCGCGGAGGCGGAGCAGGATTTCGAGAGGGAGGGGAAGAAGGGGAAGGGGAAAAGGAAGAGGAGGGGCGGCGAGTCGTCTGGTTTTGGCGAGGATGACGACTTGGGGACACTCTTCGGCGGGGCCACCACTGGGAAGTTCCCACGCTTTGCTAATCGCATCACAGTAAAGGTTACCCTCCTAAATTCAGTTACTATGTAGCAATGGGTAGACCTTCCAATTGGACTGCATCATAGGTCCTTAACCTTGAAATCCACACATTTAGGGTCTCTTAACTGCTGCTCAGCATAAGTCAAGAGTATTGTTTAGGGAATCTAGCGATTAGAAATGAGAAAATGCTATAGAGACCCTAAGTGTGATCCCCTGTTGTGCACTTCTCTCTAAATAGCCAGCCTGTTAAAGAGAGTGGTTGTCAGGTTGTATTACCTTACATGATAGAATTAAACCTTGTCCATCATAATGCTACGTTGTGTGATTCGTGCTGGTCGCTCTAAGCTCCAACCATCCTCATATGCCTTGAGCCCTTCAACAAGTGCTGGAGTGTTATTTCATGCACCATGTAAACAGTAGATTAGTTTTTATGAAGTTTTAAAATCTCGGAAGGACCATTGAGTTGTGATATGCATTCATATTTATCTGGTAGCATGAAATGGGTTCATTAGAGTCAGAGGCAAGCCTTGACTGAAAAAAAATAACAAGAATCTGGATCACATATTCTTAAGATCATTTACATGCTGTCCCACTTGGCACACTTGTCCGTACTATATGATTTGCAAAATTTATATGTTTTTGTCTTAGCTACTATCCAAATTATTCAAGCATTTTAAATTTGGAGAGTAACTTGACTAAGGTGCACACACACCATTTTGATAGAAGTTAGAACCATGGTTATCGAGGTGGTAAGACAAGGCATGGCGACTGACTACTGCCTTATGTGTAAGCAGCTAAGGTGTGAGGGTAGCCGAGGCGATGCCTTACCACTCGAAGGGAAATGCAAAATAGCAGGGTAGAGCCTCGGAGGATGGAGAAAAAGGAAAATAAGGAAAAAAGTAAGCAGGAGGAGTAAAAAGTGGGCTAGACCAGCCCATGTGCCCCTCCCCTCCTGGCGTGAACCTGTATATGACCCTCTCTCCTGATCTCCAGCGCCGCAGTTGCACCTCTGCCCCTCTCACTCACTTTCCTCTCTCCTTCTCCTCTCTGCTGCTTCCCCTCCTTTCCCGCCCCTAAGATCGACTGCTGCTGACACCCCCTTCCAAATCAAGGGATTGACAGTTGTGAGACAGCGAAATCAAGATAGCAGCAGCAGAGCCAAGCAGGGCTACAAGCAAAATTGAACGGGCCAGCAGCAGAATCAAGGGGGATACGGTGGAATCGATGGGGTGACCGCATACGCGTAAGACGAAGGGCCTCTGTGGCGATCCTAGACCGATCTGATGCTTAAGCAACACTTGAACAATTTCTTAATAACCATGGTTAAGACTAATTGTCTATTTCTGTCCTCGTCCAAATAAACACAGAATTATTGGTACGTGGGGCTCTACCTCTCTTCTCCACCAAGTGCAGAGCTGCCAGGGCTTGACCCTGGCCCTCTGTCATCCTTGTTACAGGCTATACTCCCTGCCCATTCCAATTATTCAATGGCTTAAGGAGCTAGTATTTTATTCTTATGTTGTCAATTTGCACTGAACTTCTCTGGCATGTTTGGTCTAACGAATAGCTGGTGAGAGCAAATATATTTGCCATTGTTATTCCTGGAAGTGTTTCAGATGGTTCAGATGACCATTCAAACCCTGCAGCACATATACTGATGCACTTCCCATCCAACCTTTGTCATATTTTTGAACTAAACGGTCTCCATAAAAGCTTTATGGATTAGCCTGTTTTAGACAGTTTCATTTGCAGTTGCTGGAATATTGTATAAGTTATGCACCTCGATGTGCATTAAGATTAAGGTGATGTAGTGCTACATACGGATCACTCATTGGTTATTGCATTAGTTGAGGCTGACAGGGTTGCCATTTGGTCCTTTGAACGAGATGTCTAGGTTATATATCGCTAGCTTTGTATTGGGTGGTGTTAGTGTGATTATTCTTATTTGTTACCTTGAAATGTTTGGATTTTGGAACATGTGATGACTGGCCTCAGGTTGGTACCAAATGCCCTTATTTTAAGTCAGCTATGTGTACTATCTGTATCTATTTATTGAGAGCATGTTAACATGGACATGTAGTGGTCAGTTCTGGGATCTCCTATTGTTGGTTGTCTTTAAATCCTTCACAAAATGCTGCTATATTGCTGAACTGGTCATGACATTTCCCTCCCTTTGTCAGAATATTTCACCAAATATGAAGCTCTGGGGTGTTGTAATTGAGGTTAACCAGAAAGATATTGTGTTAAGTCTACCTGGTGGAATTAGAGGGTTTGTTCGCTCAGAGGATGTGTGCGACATTGCTTTGCAGGAAAATCGTAAGGTAGATATTTTCTTTTTAAGTAGTCCATAATTGATATTTCTTTGTCAGTGATTTGCCATCTGGTGAACCAACTGATACTGTTCTTTTGCAGGATAGTGAGAACAGTTTATGTGCAGAAGTTGTTCATGTTGGTCAGCTTGTTCCTTGTATAGTCCTACGAGTTGACGATGATAAGAAAGAAGGAAAAGTAAACAGACGGGTTTGGCTATCATTGCGATTAAGCGTGCATTGTACAGGGGATTTTCCTGGATGGCTTGCAGGAAGGAATGGTAATTTTTAATCACCCTAATCTGGATGTGCTTCATAAGCTGAGCTTTTGGGGCAGAGAAATATCAACTATGTATGATTGTTTCATTGTGCACCTCTGTCCTTAATATTTTTATATTATAATTCACAACCATTCGAGTGTTCGGTTCTTGATTAAATGATTTGATTATTCTACTGAAATTGTAAATGGAGCATGTTTTCTGAAGAAAAGTTGGGGCAAAATTTACATGCAAAATCAGAATGACTGGTTAGAAAGCTTGCTAATATCTGTAGGAGCATATACACCCAGAAAAGATCAGATCCAGTTTTATAGTGAAAAAAAATCCTAACAGGCTATTGGGAACATTCACCATTTTTAAAGAATCTCATTTCCTCCTCACCCTGCCCCATGAGACATGGTCACATGCACCTTCCTTCCCTCCCTACCCCCTCCTGCCCTATTTGTGGAGTTTACCAGTTTTTTCAATAAATTATTGAGCTTATCTAACTAAATGTTTGTTTATAATAAATCGGTTTGTTCCTTTGATAGCTATACTGACTACTGAGTCTACATATGCGGAGGTGTTAACAGTCTTGCAACCGTATCGAAAACAAGGAGCTTGACAGGGCATGCTTGACTATATTGATTTTTTTGCTACCTGATTACTACTACTTGATCTGCAGTATGCTAGATTTACTTAACCTTTTCTTTGTAGGCCTGTTTTATGCTCCCTGCTATTTTTTTTGACTTCCTAAAATCCTGGCTGTCGAACTTCCTAAAATTTGACAATTGATGCATTTAAACTTTAAAGCTATATCGGGATTTGCTGTGTGAAAATTATATTACTAGAAATGCATCCACAAAAGTGTTATTTTATTATTATATATTGATGTAAATTTATAGAAGGTAGAGGCCAAAGTCACACCACAGGGAACATGAAACATCAAAAACATTCAAACAAAAAGAATGGAGGGAGTAGTTCCCATTGGAAACAGTTAGATTCTGAGTCAAATCTTTTATGTAATGGATGCACATGTATGCGTTTCATTAGGTACTTACTGCCCAAGTCAAAAGCATTGAGGACCATGGTTACATTCTTCATTTTGGAGTATCCTCCTTTAGCGGATTTATGCAAAAGGATGACAAAGGTACACTAAGCAATAAATTCATCAGATCGTGAAATACTGGTGTTTCTTCATGACATATTTATATAACTGATTTCACTAGCTGATGTTCTAATAGCACCTGCTCATATTAGACTGCGCTCCCTGATAACATATAAATTTTGCCTAGCAATCTTGAAGTTCTTTCTATCTGTTTTAGTTTGGACTGGACTTCCTGTTCTAGCAGGCTTGGTAGCTTATGAGCTTGTGGTTATATTGTTTCATACAGTTTCAATATTCTAAACATACATTTTGTGCGAAAATACAAATGATCTGACCCTTCTCTCATATGCTTTCTTTTTGGTGTATTTATGCATAAAAACAGTTTAGTTCTTAGAGTTTCTTTTGTTGTCTTCATGTTTGTAGTTCATGCACTTTTATAAGGCATAGTGTGGAGTATATAAAATGATGTGGTGTTACTTGTGTAACTTTAAGCTGCTCTCTATAGATTTATATGCTTGCTAGAAGGATAAACATTAGTGTTATTTGTCTTGCTTAATATGGGCCATATACTTGAACTCTGTTTGATCTCTCCCATTGCTATTGCTGATCGTGATATTCTTTCTAGGGTGGTACTCAGGGAGTTGTTTAACTGTTGTTCTCTTGTACAGAAAATGTGAAGATTGAGCGCCGACAACTGATGCAATGTGTTGTGAAGGCGATTGACAAAACTCGGGCTATTGTTCACTTGAGTTTTGATAAAGACTTGCTTTCTAAATCTATTGTATGGCAAATCACTATAAATGCTATTTAATATCTTCTTTATTTTGATTGGGACCTGACACCTCTAATTTGTGGTTTATTGTTGTTTTTGTATAGATTAAGGATCTGAAAGGCCTTTCTATTGATCATTTGATCCCTGGGATGATGGTTAATGCACGCGTCCATTCAGTTCTTGAAAATGGAGTCATGTTATCATTTTTTACTTATTTCAGTGGAACAGTAAGCTATTTTTCACAGACTAGACTCATTTTTGGCTTTACAGGAGCATTTGTATTTCATTTCACAGTGTGTTCCTTCTATTGTCAGGTTGATATTTTTAATTTGTTGAATTCCTTTCCCTCTGGTAATTGGAAAGATGATTACAGTAAGAATAAGAAGGTATTCACTATTTTCTTATTTTTTGTTGATATAATTGTTGTGTCTGTGGCTCCTACAATTTTGCAACATCTCTGATAGTCTGATGTTTTTTTTACGATATTGGATATCTGGAGTGATTTTCTGAGTACTTCCACTATAATTTACAGGTAAATGCTCGCATCCTGTTCGTTGATCCATCAACAAGAGCAGTTGGGCTTACATTGAACAAACATTTACTTCATCTTGAAGTACCCCCTATTGTAAGTTGTCTGTTTTGGCATGATAACCCCTTTATGCCTGTAAAGTTGGCCTCTGTAGAAAATAGAAGTGCTGTTATTTTATTCAGTGTTCTTTTTTTATTGGTAATTCTTCCTCATGCAGAATCTAAAAGCTGGAGATATCTACGATAAATCAAAGGTGCTGAGGATAGATAAAAAGGCTGGTCTTTTTCTTGAAATACCTTCTCCAACTCCATCACCTGGATTTATTAGTGTATGTGAAACTGTAGTGAATATTTTATTGTACTCATTGTTGAATGATGTGAAAGCTCTCACAAAGATGCTTCTTAATATGCTGATATTGTAACCTGATCCTCAGATACATGATGTGTCAGACAAGGATGCAAAAAACTTGGACAAGTTTAAGGAAGGCAGTAGCTTACGTGTCCGTATACTTGGAGTGCGGAATCTTGAAGGAGTTGCAATAGGCACCGTAAAAGTAATTACATTACACCACGTCACTTATTTTTTTAAGCAATGGTATTCGTCAAAAGGAATGCTAGTGGCACACTTATACTATTGTGTCCTGATTTATTTCACTTGAATTTTTAATTTTCAACAAAGATACTGAGCAACTTTCTTTTATTTTATCTTTCATAGCTCATGTCACTTCATTTAACTTTTGGCATCGGTTTGGTGACTCATGCCTTTTGAATTTGTTGTGAACATGCATGTATATTATATCCATGTTTACATGGTAATATAGGAGTTGCAATAATGCAATCTGTTAATTGGTTTTCATATGGTTTAGAAGACTTGCACTGTTGTGAACATGCATATTTAGTATATGTCCATGTTTACATGATAATATAGGTTACTGATATTTGTTGAATCATTGCCTTAGGATCTCTATGCTCTCTGTGTTTGCAGGACAGTGCTTTTGAAGGGTCTGTTTTCACTCATGATGATGTTAAACCTGGAATGTTAGTGAGAGCTAAGGTTGCTACTGTTGAGCCATTCGGTGCTATTGTACAGTTTTCAAGTGGTGTGAAAGCACTTTGCCCGCTTCCTCACATGTCAGAGTTGGAATATGTTGTGAAACCACCAAAGAAATTTAAGGTTGCTCATTTCCACTTCCAATTGTTTGATGTTTTTTTTTGGGAAACTATGTTAAGAGATGTTGAATATGATGATGAATGAACTTTAACTTTGTTCTTTGTGTAGGTTGGAGCTGAGCTTCTTTTCCGTGTATTGGGCTGCAAATCCAAGAGAGTTACAGTGACATACAAGAAGTCTCTGGTACTTTGCTCTTACCTTAAGAATTTCTATGAATTCTGGTATAATATATACAACAGTACATGATATTGTTTTTAAATCCTTCCTAGTTTTTCTCTAGCTTAGAATAATGAAGATAGAGCTCATATCCCTATTTATATGCATTCTTTGTTTTCTCTGAGACTGTCCAGTAGTATAACTATGGATCTATTTCAGGTGAAATCAAAACTTGATGTGCTAGCATCATATGCTGATGCAAAAAATGGTTTAGTGACTCATGGATGGATTACTAAAATTGAAAAGCACGGTTGCTTTGTAAAATTCTACAATGGAGTTCAGGGTTTTGTTAGCAGGTTAGTATCACATTTCCTATTTCTGAAGCAGATCAGCTTGGTGTTGTAAATCAAATTAGATTTCTCTACAAACTTTTAGATAATCAATAGTGAAAGATGCATTTATTTACTTTTGAATTGTGTATCTGTCTCTGAGGGTTGCTGGTCTTGTGCTGTTCTTGGCACCATTATTTTAGTAAATAGATATTTCATCACAGTTTTTTTTATGATATGATTCTGAATCATCTGCTTTCTTGATGGGTAAATTGATACTAGATCTGACCTTGGATTAGAGGCTGGAACTGAAGCAGAAAATGTTTATCATGTTGGTCAAGTGGTCAAATGTAGAATTATCAATGTGATCCCTGCTTCAAGGAAACTAAATGTTAGTTTTGTCATATCCCATAATAGGTGAGTTCTCTACATGCGCTTTTGTTCTACTATTTTTATGTTCTATTAATAATCTGCCCTTATTTGACATGACGAGCTGTAATTGTTGCCTTAATTTTTACATGTATTTTTAGAATTTCTTTGAAGTTTATTGTTTCACTCATAGAGCATTTTCTGTCATTTTGCTTGTCATCTTTTAACAAGAAAAAACAAGGATGGTGTTAGTTCTTTGCTATGTTTTTGAACTTGTACTGAATATCCAGAATTGTCATTTTCCTGATGTGTAGATTTATAATCTAACTTTTATCCTCTTTGCATTTATTTTTGCCCCATGTAGGGTTATTCCAATAGACACTCCAAAGTTGGGTAGTATTGTCTCTGGTGTTGTGGAACGGCTTACTCCTGCAGCTGTTGTTGTCAGTGTAAATGGCTTCTCCAAGGGGACAATACTAAATGAACATTTGGCAGACCATCATGGTATATCCTCATCTGCTATATGATTTGCATGTAACCTATTGCATCAATAGTTTTCCTTGTGGGTTCACACTCATATTCTTTGTTGCTGTTTATATTTCATATAACATTACTGCTCTACTGACCATGGTCTGTTTTTTCCTATTAGGTCAAGCTGCTAAGGTGAAGAATTTGCTGAAACCTGGGCACGAGTTCAACCAACTTCTAGTTCTCGGTGAAGTCAACAAACTTCATTTGCTATCAATGCACTTTGAAAAAAACAGAACATCCCTTTTTCTTCTGTTAATAAACATCTGACGCTTTGGACATTCATTACACAGTTATGTTATAAAAATGATAGCAAAAAAGAATCTAAAGTCATTACGTCATGGCCAGTACAATTTTTCTTGAACTGATGGAGGATCTAGAATACACTTTCTAAACTGTTGTATATCTAGAGGAGTACCATACTACCATGTATAGTTTATGAACAATGTGCAGAATTTCACAATGGCAAGTAGGAAGTTCACTGTTTTGCATGCACACTTGTAGCTTATCATGGTCTGTACATGACCTCACGATACAATCAGTTGTTTGCACTGCTAATGATGATGCACCTTTTGTTGTTAGATGGATATTTGATCACATTGCTAATTTTTCCATCTGATTTTCTAATACCCGTCTGCAGATATTGAAGGTCAAAATTTAGTTCTTTCGGCAAAGCACTCACTTATCAATTGCGCAAATGACATTCCTTCAGAGATATCGCAGATGCATCCTGGAGTTGTAGTTCATGTAATCTTTCTCTAGTTTTTTTTTTTGCTTAGCCTAAGATGAGCAACTCAGCTGACATTTATTTTATCTTAGGGTTACATCTGCAACATTATCGAAGCTGGTTGTTTCGTCCGTTTTCTCGGACATTTGACTGGTTTCTCTCCCAAGGACAAAGTAAGAAATTTTCAGCTCTGTCATTCTTTTTGTTTTTTTGATTTGAAAAGAATGTCTAATTTTTCTTGTTTCACAAAGGCAGTTGATAGGCGGATAGAAAGGCTTTCTGATGCGTTCTATGTTGGCCAGTCAGTTCGGAGTCATATACTCAGCGTATGCCATAATTGTTGGTATATATTTGTTATCATCTATTACTTGTGTTCTTCTAATTTTTTTTTTGTTCCTCCCCTTGCAGGTAAATGCTGAAACTGCTAGAGTAAAACTCGCACTTCAACAGTCAATGTGCTCCTCAACGGATTCTTCATTTATTCAAGGATACTTTCTTCTGGATCAGAAGGTTATAATGGAAACAATTACCTCTTACTCTGTTGAATAGAAGTTTCGAAAACTTTATGGTACTCCATTCCAAATTAAGATGTTTTGGCTTCTCTAGGCTTTTGCTATGCACTTATATATAGTGTATGTCTAAATACATAACAAAAGCAATGTATCTAGAAAAACCAAAACGTCTTATAATTTGGAGTGGAGGGAGTAGCTTGTAATAATAGTGCTTCGATGTGTGGGCATGTGAGATTTTGTGGAACCTGCTAAGTAGTTACAGTTTTCTTGTGGGAATGTTGGGACATGTGTAACTAATGGCTATTTTCTTGTATCATGTTACTGTATGTAGTTGTCCGGATGCTACTTTCCTTTTTTTTTTATGTGTACTCTCGGGGCATCTTGCTCATTTGCTGGCATATGTGATAGATGTGGCCTATTTGTCTCCTACAAGATAATCTAGGACGTGTGAGTTTGCTGTGGGTCTTCATGTAGGGTATTTTATTCAATAACTTTTAGCTTAGATCAAAATACCACTGCCAGTAACTCTGAAGATAAAATTTCATATGTTGATATGTTAAGCTTATTGATAATGATGTTTTAGCATGCACTTATCATTTGTGGCTACCTCTGATATAGATTGCAGCATTGAAGTACTCAAGCAATGATTGGGCTCACACTTTTGGCATTGGTAGCTTAGTTGAGGGGGAGGTGGGAGCAATAGAAGAATATGGTATTATCCTTAACTTCAAAGACCATCCGGATGTTGTTGGCTTAATCGAGCACCATCAACGTAAGTAATTTTGCCCTTTCATGATATTAACTATCCAACCCGCAATCCTGCCAATTTTTATCTTTTTCTATTGTTACAGTTGGTGGCAGTAGTGTGGAAATGGGATCTTCTGTTAAGGGCCTTGTTTTGGATTTATCTGATGGAGTTGTTAACTTGTCCCTTAAACCAGAGCTAATTGGCAGTGTTAGAAATGTTGGAAAAAAGAAGGTAATGTTTGTAGCCTTGGTGTGAAGTTGTTAGTATACCTGGCCAGGCATGCCCTTGGAGGTTATAACATTGTATCATATTGTAACAACTTTATCTGGATCTCAATCCCCATTTTTTTATTGTCACCTTTAGTAAGCACGATATGCAGTTTTTGAAACTATATATTCAATCTCTATTTCATGTATTATCATAACTTTACATTATATATCCTGTTTCACTTTAGAAACGCCAAAGGGCTGCAGTTGCAGAGTTGGAGCTTCATGAGGAAGTGAATGCAGTTGTGGAAATAATCAAAGAGAGTTATGTGGTGTGTAAATTACTCTCTTCATTGACCAATTTGTTTGTTGAATTGTAGGCTGATTGCAATTTACTTTTTTGTTGTTGTTTTGTTTAATCCAGGTCCTTTCCATACCTGAGTACAATTACGCAATTGGTTTTGCACCACTGATGGATTACAACTCACAACTGCTTCCCCACCACCACTATGATAATGGACAACGGTAATATTTGGAAGTTTGCCCATTTTGATTCGAATTCTTGCCTTGTTACATACTTCTCCCGATGGGAAATATAAGAACATCAAAGTTTGTCATAGTCATAGGTCAACCTCTTTTAACATTGATCATCAATATGTAAAATTTTATATAGATTGACAAGGGAAGATCAGCAATTCAGCATTACTAGATACATTGTAATCATTGTAATAGTTCTTTCATAATATGTTAATATATAAGCCTTTTCATTGAAGATAATTATTATGTATAAATATTACTACTCAAAGTTGAAAAAAGTTTAAACTGTGTCAAACCTTTATGGACTTATATTTCTAACTGGACAAAATATCTGCTACTATTTGAGTACCCCTTACTGGAAGGCTTTGACATAAATGCTGTGGAAACTTGAACCTTTCTATTTGTACTAGATAGTGCAGAACAATGTCATAATTAATCTCTTGATATAAATTCATTTAGGGTTACAGGCTTATCACTTTATCAGTCTTGACATAAATTGATTTTGAATTGCAGCTTTATCACTACAGAAGAATGTTATAATTAGTCTATTGATATGGGCATCTAATGTATAAATGAGCTTTGCTCATGTGATCCCAGCTAATATTTGCTCGAGCTTGCAACTATCATAGCCTAAGCAGGAACATGTGAGCAAAACAATAAAGAAGAATGATATTTTGTGTTAGAAAAGATTGTACTTTTCTTGAGTGCAGAACAATAAAGAAGAGTGATTTCTTATCTGGACTACGTTACCTACTTGTTTTCTTATTTTTCTTTGTGTTTATTTTCTTTTTGAAGCATTACTGTGGTTGTTGGAAATATCCCAAGTTCTGACTCTTCTGGAAGACTTATCCTACTACCAAAAGCTTCAGCTCAGTATTCTGCCCTCTCTGAATCTAAAAGGGCTAAGAAGAAATCAGGCTACAAAATTGGGTCACTTGTTGAAGCAGAGGTGCAATTATTTTCAATTATGATCCTAAAATTGGTAACTGTTTTCGTCTTCAATGTCTTCAAACTTTGCTTACACAAATCCTTTTGGACATCAGATTATTGATATCAAGCCAGCTTGAACTTCTACTGCAATTTGGTGGCAATCTTCATGGAAGAATCCATATTACTGAGGTGAACACCAGACATTGCTTGAGATGCCTTTCTTATAACAATATGTATTGGCTAATTACTAATTAGTGATACATTTCTCATAGGTTCTTGAAGAGGATTCTGATGAGCATCCCTTTAGTAAACTCAGAATAGGGCAAAAGCTTACTGCCAGAATTGTTGCAGTGGCTGAACCTTCTGGAAAGAGTGGCAAAAACTTCAAATGGGAATTGTCTATTAGGCCATGTATAGTCAAGGGTATGCTTTAATGTCTATTTTTAATTTGTCTATTCCATGATAAACAATCATCTCATATAGATCTTACAGCTTTCATTCAGTTCATCCAAAGCTAAAATCCTATATGCTGACTGCTTTGCATTTTGTATACCCTTTTGTGTTTCTTAATCTTTGAGATGACTAACTTTTCTTATTGTTGGATCTTTTTTTTTTACTTGAAATTAAACAGGAGAGTTTGAAGAATTAACTGCTCAAAAAGAACAAAAGCACACCACAAATGAGATTGTACGTGCTTATGTTGTCAAGGTGGATAAGGAATGGGTCTGGTTAACTGTATCAAGAAATGTTATGGCTCATTTATTTGTACTTGATAGTTCTTCTGAGCCCAGCGAACTGAAAGAATTCCAGCAGCGCTTTAGTGTAGGCCAAGCAGTGAAAGGCCGTGTTATCAATGTGAACCGGGAGAAAAGGTTACTTCGGTTGAAGGCACTTGATAACGAATGCACACAATCGAATATACATGAAATACAACAATCAAAGTCCTCTGTGTTTGAACAAACAAAACAAGGAGATATCATCGGGGGACGTGTTCAAAAAATTCTACCTGGTGTTGGTGGGCTTGTCATTCAGATTGGACCTCATCTCCATGGGAGGGTTCATTATACTGAAATTGTTGACTCATGGGTGGCCGAACCATTGTCTGGATTCCATGAGGGCCAGTTTGTGAAGTGCAAGGTCCTGTCTGTGAGCCGCTCATCAGAAGGATCACTTCGAGTTGATTTATCACTCCGTTCATCAAACCTGATCAGAGACTCTAACAACTCAGGACTAGTTGATGATCTGTAAGTGCTAGAGCCCATGTTTTTTTTTCATCAATTAAGGAACAATGCTATTTTATGTGTTAAGTGTTCTCTTCCATGAAAAAACATAAACGGTACTCCAAACTGGCTTTGTGTATGAAGCATTAGCTCCAGATCTCTCCCTTTTGGGGGTAAAATCCTGAGGCACAACCACACAGCCAAGCAGGCCCTACGATTGTTGTTACATTGTCCAGAAAGTATATGTAGCATTCCCATTGTCATTTACATCATGTATCATTGTTGTTTCTTAGGGCAATCTGTACCTCCCGGATAGAGAAGATCAAGGATCTGCTTCCCGGAACAGAGATTAAGGTATTTTTCACAATTTTTGTGCTATTTTACTTTTATCTGAAGTTCTGTGCAATAAACATAATTTAACATGTGAATAAGACAAGTCTATAATTCAGGCACTATCTAAACATATATTGGATTTATCATTCATGAAAAACACAATCTGCTACTTGCCAACAAAAAAAAAAAAGCTGTAAATAGTGTTGGTCAACTTGCATAGTATAATTCTGGGTGAATTCCCTATATGCTGTACCAGAACATCTGTGTTTTTTACCTATTGTCCAAAGGTTGCCTGCAACTGATATTAAACTTTTTGTTTGTACCTGTCAATTGTCATTGCTGAAGTTGTAGTATGCCATGAATTGAAGTTTAGTTTTTTTTAGGGGAAATACAGTAGGGGAGTCCCCTACTGTGCATTTTATTAAAAAAAGAATGAAGAGAAAAGGAGTTACAGAAAAGGAAGACAAAACCTGTATATTTTTTTTCTCGAACTAAAACCTGTATATATAGGTGAAAGGTGGAAAATAGCTGCATGTAACCGGCAGCCAAGACAGAAAAAGAGCGCACAAGCTAGTGAATCGAGTTTAGCCATAAATAAATTGAATTTAGTTTTTTCGGTGAATATATTTGATAAATAAAGGCGTGTTTTTTTTACCATTTACTACTAAGTGTATCTTCTGTAATGTGAAGTGACATGGTTTGTTCTGCTAAAATTCTAGGGCTATGTGAAGAATGTTAATTCTAAAGGATGTTTTATTATGCTTTCTCGAATGGTTGAGGCTAGAATTACTCTATCAAATTTGTCAGATGAGTATGTTGAAAATCCATGAAGGATTTCCCTGTTGGAATGCTTGTACATGGAAGGTGAGATCTTACCATTTTCAAATGCTCATATAAATTACAGATATGTTCTCCTGTGAAACTAACAAAAATCTGCAGGGTCCTGTCTACGGACCCATCATCAGGGAGAGTTGAGGTTTCACTTAGGACGACCACTGGTTCCAAATTGGAAAAGCTGGATGATATTAGTTATAGTGATTTGCATGTTGGGGATATCATTGATGGCCAAGTTAAGCGGGTTGAATCCTTTGGATTATTCGTTACAATTCGGAGAAGTGAACTGGTACATTGTTATCACTAGACTCAGCCTTTTGAAATCATTGTGTATTCTGTTTTGTAAATACTCTTTTGCAGGTTGGTTTGTGCCATGTATCAGAACTTTCTGATGAACCTGTCGTTGATATTAACTCTTGCTATAAAGCTGGTGATATGGTTAAAGCCAAAATTCTGAAGGTAAGGTTTATCTTTTTCAGGATTTTCATTTTGCCATTGCACGTTTTAAAATTCATTATTTTGTTTTAAAATAAAGATCGATGAGAAGCGGCATCGAGTATCACTTGGAATGAAGAAGTCGTACTTTGATTCTGATCTGACTGCTGACACAAATGATGATGAAGATGATGAAAGTGCTCTTATGGACATCAGTGTTGCCCCTCAGATGGTTGAATATCATAACAGAAATTTAGTTCATCGCAAAGCAAAACCAATGGCTTCTGTGCCGCCTCTTCAGGTTTCCTTGGATGAATCTGAAGGTTCTGACCTAGAGGAGGATAATAATAATAAAGGTCTTGAAATTGCAAATGGAACTGAAGCAAATGCTAAAAAGAATGATAAACAATTAAAGAAGGAAGCAAGAAAACAAAGGTATTCAGACATTTGATTCTACTCTGTGACCTTATTTTGTTGACATATGCATCAAACTTTACATCCTTCTATGGTTTTCAACAGGGAACTAGAAATCAGTGCTATGGAGGAAAGGGCTTTGCAGGGAGATGTACCACAAACTCCAGATGATTTTGAGAAGTTGGTCAGGAGCTCCCCAAATAGTAGTTTTGTCTGGATAAAATATATGGCCACTTTGTTAGATCTTGCAGATGTTGAGAAAGCACGTGCAGTAGCTGAGAGGTCTGTCTGCTGCTCAAAACATTTGTTTTTAATATTGAAAAGATGTTTGGTGATAGGAAGTTGCTTTCTATAATCTTAATAGTGTTGATAGATCTGATTTGGTCTTCTGTTGGTTTCATTTTCGAAGGATGTAGAATTTACTTGTTGAAACATCCTTTCAAAAATTTCCTTTTGTTTCTGTCAATTCAGATGATACGTGTTTGTCCTTTTTCTGTTAGTTTATTTAAACTTTTTGGATGCATCACTTGTCATCATCTTTTACAACTGTCTCTCATGTTTTTAGGGCTTTAAAAACAATAATCCCCAGAGAAGAAGAGGAGAAACTTAATGTTTGGGTAGCATATTTCAATCTGGAAAATGAATACGGTGGTCCACGGGAGGTAAAGCTGAATAATGATGTATTTTGGGTTGCTGTGCTGTACTTGGATATACTGAGACACTTGATTGTGTACACCACAGGATGCTGTGAAAAAGGTATTTCAAAGAGCCTTGCAATATTGTGATCCCAAAAAGTTGCACTTGGCTCTTCTTGCGATGTACGAGAGGACCGAACAGTACGAACTTGCAGATGAACTTCTAGACAGAATGACCAAAAGGTTCAAAACTTCCTGCAAGGTTAGTTTGTAATTTTTTTTTTTGAGTTGAAACCATAAGGTTATGCCACATTCAGTATGCCCTATTCGTATCTGGAGATCCTATTTGTGACCTGTATAATGTAACTGCAGATATGGTTATGCCGCATTCAGTTCGCCCTCAAGCAAGGCAAGGATGTTGAGTACATCAAAACCATTGTAAACCGTGCGCTTCTAAGTTTGCCACATAGAAAGCGCATAAAGTTCCTCTCACAGACAGCTATTCTAGAATTCAAATGTGGGGTGCCTGAAGAAGGAAGATCCAGATTTGAACTAATATTGCGGGAGTACCCAAAAAGAACAGACCTTTGGAGTGTTTATCTAGACCAAGTAAGGAGCATTAAATTCATCGAAATGGCATCTGTACTTTTTATTCTTTCAAATCATGCAAGTTTGTTGACATACATTGACCTTTTGTAGGAAATCCGCCTTGGTGACATAGAAGTTATACGGGCATTGTTTGAGAGGGTGACTTGTCTTACCCTACCTCCAAAAAAGATGCAGGTATGGCTCCTTTCCAATTGTTTGCGTATTTTGCTGCCTTATATGTATTGTGAAATACGTGGATAAATTTCACTCAGTGATTCTGTCATCATGCTGCTTTCAACTTCTTGTGTGTACTTGATTTCATATGAGCGAAATATTACCTATTTTGCTTTATGTTACATTTCTTTGCTAAAACTCAACCTTGAAATGGGTGTTGGCTTATTTCTTAGTTGTGTTTCTGTCATGAAATCTAGCATCTTTGTTCTTTTTACTGTAACACTGACATGATTGTTTGAATTAGTCTTGGATTGATTGTTACTTGTTCTGTTATGGTTTTGTGCTTCACTATGTTTTTCTGGTAAAAAATTATAATAAGATGTCACTTGTTCTTTGGGACTTGATCTTTATGCTAAATGCTGTGTGCTTCACTGTCGCAGTTCTTGTTCAAGAAGTACCTTAATTTCGAGAAGTCACTGGGTCAAGACAACGAAAGAATTCAGCTTGTGCAGCAGAAGGCAATTGAATATGTTCAGAGTTCACTGCCGTCACAAGACAACCCTTGAACTTCATGATACTTGATATTTACTGTCAGCACTACATCAGTTGACACTTATCAGGCGCAGAGCTCGGCTTCAGCTGGAACGCTGGCTTCAGATGGGCCACAGGAAGACAGGCCGAAGAGGCCCAAGACTGGCAATCCACGCTACACTGGGCCGGAATGGATATCCAAGTGACCCAGCAACAGAGGGCGTGCGCGCCGTTGCTTCTGAAGCCGTGTGGAGTGTTTTGCTATATAGGCTAGTATCTTCTTGTAGAAGGGGTTATCAGCTATTGTAACGAAAACCATCTGCTACTAAGAACTCGTCGTTATTCCGGTTCCCCTTTGCTGTTCTTCCCTACCTAGATTCCAATTCTTCTGTTCCTTCTTAATTTGTTGTTAACAAAATTGGTATTAGAGCCTACGAATTCCTCAACCCACCCTTTCTATCCACCGCAATTTTCCCCTGCCCACCCTGGAGCCGCACCTAATTGACCATGAATACTTTACTCGATTTCGCAAGCAATCAGGCGTCATGGATTCCAACTTCTAGCTCCTGCTCGATGAGATCAAGTCTGTGAAGGCCGTGGTGAACGGTGTCGAGAGCCGTGTCGGCGTCGTGGAGGCTTCCCTGGGTAGTTGGATCTCCGCCATGGACCGTTCTATCTCTGATCGGTTCGGACGCGTAGAGGATGCCGTCTAGGTGTTCGACGATTGGCTGTCTTCTGTGGATGCGTCTGTGGAGGAACTCCGATCTGAGGTCAGCACCCTGCGTAAGCAGGAGGGGGTGATTGAGAAGATGCGCGAAGAGATGACGGCATTGCGCAAGTCCGTCAGCCGGGTGGTGCTCGAAGCCGCACCGACCATGGCTGTCGGCATCCTGGCGCAACCGGTGGTGACCGCGGCGACTTCGTTCGCTGGACACCCAAATACAAGCCCTGTTGTCGAGCACCGCGTCGAACCACGTCACTGGGAGTTTGAGTCTCTGACTCCACTTCCGGTCAAGGGTACGCTCAATTTCAAACCCCACCCGTTCCCCAAACCCATTCCCCGTTTGCGTCGTTCTCTTTCGAGTCCACAGATTACTACTGATGATCGTTTATTTGTTGTTGACATCGAGGCAGTTCGTGATCGATATACACATTTGGGTCCTCAATACTCCAGTAGCAAGTTGCCGAAGTTCAATTTTCCCGTGTTCTCTGGGGAGAATCCCAAGCTCTGGATCACATTTTTGCTCGTTACACGAAGACAAGCTTAGGAAGTGCCGGTCGTACAGTAGATATGATCTCTTTGATGACCCCTTGAACATTACTGTGAAAAGGTCAATGTAAAATGTGGGCTATTCAAAATTTTGTTTGAAACCGTTACAAGTTATGAAGCATTAAATCTAGTCTGCCATGTTTCACCTAAATATTGGAAAGGATCCATCCTATGAGAACCGGATCTGGTTCGCACGAATATTGATCTGTTCTATCTGTTATATTGATTGTTGAGGCAGAATTGAATGGGTAACCGAATGTCTTTCTGTGCTACTCCTAGCTAAGAAAATACTAGAACACCTGCCTAAACTCGATCCATTCTTTGAGGACAAGCATGTTATTCAACGTACTAAGGGGTTGTCCCCTTCTCATATTCCCCTTTCCTCTCTCCGTACTTGCATTCTTCTTAGAGAGAGGGAAAAACAACAACAATAGAATCCATAAAGATGGGAGGATGTTCCAGGGTGATCCTCTTGGTGCAACAAAGATCTGATGGCCTCCTCTCTTATTCGTATTTTGCTTCTTCGTTGACTTCCAGATTTGCTCTCAAATCCAGTGCAACAAAGGTCAGAGCAAAATCCCTTTCTATTTTTCCATCTCCCTTCTTCTATTTCATTCTTCTATACGCTGAATTAGTCTTTTTTTTAGGGGTGAATTAGTCTTGGTTGAGTTTACACAACGTGGTCCATACAGATCTATTTTTGTCTCTTTATAGATTAGTTTCCTTGTGATAGTTGATAGACAGATGTAACTTCCTATTCACTATTTTCTTGCTAAACAAACAGATCGATCTTTTTTCCCTTGCAGCATGTGAAATTAGGCTTACTTTTAGCATGTGCGTACTGCTATCCTATCAATGGAAGTAGCTTTTCATTATTATATTTTATATTTTACCTTTTTGGAAGAATTAGTAAGTGCACGCTTGCCATCTAATAAATTTATTAAAGTAGTAAGCTATCTAACAGTTCTTGTACAAAATGACAGGCATGCAAAAATCTCTACATGCGAATTTATTTCTTACATTATTTTTTTCACATGATGCTCAGATGGACATAGACCCGATTCCTGATTATGTTATCCAGCACAGAGCTCGGATGCTAAGTGTCTTATCGGTTGTCATGGCCATTATCCAATGGCGACGGCGCCAGCATCGTCGTTGTAGAAAATTGCCAATAAAATATGGGCCATTGCTCAGCAGTGACTTGGTGAGACAAACAAGGCTAGATGAACTAGAGTCTGATAGTGATGAATGTCAGGAGGTGGCTGCCCTTGCTACAGCTAGCAGTCAAGTTTCTTCATCTAGTGTTAAGTCCATGAAGCCTAACAAGAGAAATTTTAAAAGGGTTGGCAAGTCTAATACACTATCTGCTGCTGCATGGGTTGGCAGGGCCAGCAAGTCCAACACAAAACCATCTCCTGCCTGTGTCGATGATGATATGGATGTGCAGATAACTAATGCTTTGCGAGGTATCCAACAGAACCTTGCAAAACCAGTGTATGTTGCACCTCCTCGTGTTCCTAATGGTCCTCTATGGGATATGCTCAAGAAGATCACATTACCACCGAATGATAGGCTTGCAGTAGGGATGCATCTTTGCAAACCAGAATTTCAAGTTCATCTCAGGTTCCTTATCAATATGGGTCAAGAATACCTTGAGCGTTGGGTGTTCAAATGTTTATCTGGTAGTGATTCTGGTGATGACTCTTTTGATTATGGCTGATGGGGTCTGTTTTTGTTGCACCCTTTTGAAATCGGTATGGGGTCTGTTTTTGTTGCACCCTTTTGAAATCGGTATGTACAGTACGACTACATGCTAATTAGGTGCTGCCAAAGTTAATAGTCAGAGAGGTAGCTAACATTTATGGAGAAGTTTCAGACTCTTGGGACAGCCTATGTGATATGCTTTTGTGTATCTGCGAATTATTATCTAATCTTAAGTTGTAATATTTGTTAGCCTATAGCTTTAAAACTCATTGTGTGAGAGATTATGAATAGAGCTCATATGAGTTCATTACTTATGACTGGAACACGAATTCATGGTTTATTTGTTTCATAGGCCCCGTTCGCTGGTCTGAAACTTGGCTGAAACTGACTGAAAACACTGTTTCGGCTGAATTGTTGTGAGAGAAAAACACTGTTCCGGCTAAAAGAAGAAGCCGAACAAGCCATTTTTAAGACAAGCGAACGGGGCCATAATGTGCTGTTCTCATCTGAAAATATAATGACTTATTTTATATCAGGTATTTGGTTTATTTATTCTCATGATGTGAAATGATCCATTTATCAAAAATTACTTTAGCAATGAAATGGTTCATACGAAGTAATAACTTGGCACTCATAGACAATAGTGAGTGCAACCCAGGCAAGCTATACAACCAAATGATGCCTGGCTTCTCTACCAGCTCAGGCTGACTTTCAGGCCATCAACCAAACAACATAGCATGTTTTAGCTTCGCCTACCCAGGCATTCTTGCAAGTGAAGACAGGCAGCTCCCAAACAGGTGAATAGCCCAGGCAACTTGCTCCGAACAAGCTCTAAGTTTGCTGGACTCAGAATTACTATGATGATGCGGCATCTTCTATAACTAACGCTGCCACATCATCATAGACCCAACTACTGCAGCCTCCGTCACGAAAATCATCACGGCTCCCTCGCAGTAATTAACCCAAACTGAATTGCAGCAAAACCCAACTAGCCGACCGCGTTGGCAGTGAAACGTAAAGCAGATAAACAGTCACATTAGTTGGTCTCTAATCCTTCAGACTACTCCGCTTCCTGTCCCATCGTTTTCTTGCTCTCTTCCAATTCCAATCCTACCCCTATATACAGTCTCCGTTTCCTGTCACCCAATAATAAGGCTATCTCTCAGTTTTTTTTTGTTGAACTAAAGGAAGGAAAGAACCATGACAAAAAAAAACAGAGAATTAAAAAACAAAGGAAAGTAAAAGGAAGTGTCGTTTGGAACGCAGGAATACATGACAATGACATCGGAACCATAAATCATGGCAATAATAAAAAGATGAGAGTGGATTTTCCGGATGTATATGCAGCCACCATGCCTATCGTGGCCGTCAAAATGTCCCAGGCATCAAGATTCGTGCAGACTAACATACCTCTTTTATTCTGCATCTCAGCAAACCACGAAGGGCAGATTTGGAAATGTACCAGGGCTGCAGCTAGGCGCGTGCGCCAATAGAAAAGGCTACAGGTGTCCTAAATTGAAATTCAAGAGGAGAGGGAGGCGGAACTGCGGAGAACATTTTCCACCATTGCGATTCCACTAACAAGGGACACCTCCCACTCACGCAAGTGCAGATTGGTGAAGAGCAAATCGAGAATCGATACCTCCAGAAGATGTCGAGTGAAATCGACGGCGATGGGAAGGCACTGTTGCGCAAGCAGGTGCGAGCTCGGCCGGCTCTTCTCCGGCAACTTGCTGGCGGCGGAAAGACCCTAGGCGAGCAGATCAACTACGCCGGTCGCGCAACAGATTTCGAGCAGGCCGCACGACCTTCCATGGCGGAGCACACAGTTGAGCGAGGTGAAGCATCCAGGGCTACAGTAAGTGTCCGTCCATCTGAATATTGTTTTTTTGGAAGCCTCTGTTCCGGCACTTGTCTGGGATTGTGAAAATGGCAATCTAAATGCAGATCCAGCCAATGGCTCTACCCGAAGATAGCAGCAAAGTGGAAGCCCAAAACAGTGAAATGACATTTGCTGAAGAACTCGAATTGGAAGATGGCCACGCATTCGAAGAAGGTATA